GAGGGGGAAGCAGACTGCATGTTTCAACATGTTATTAAAACAGTTTTTAGGCTGAGAGTGAAAGACAGAAATAGACAGAGAGCATTCTGGGGTTTAACGCTCTCTAAATAAATTTTGTCTCACCAAAGACCTCATTAACTGCAAGTTTGTGGAAGACTTCTTGTCTCAACTCGCATCTCAGTTTCTTAAAATAAAACATAATTTGATTTAAGGCAATAAGTTGTGTGTGTGTGTGTGTGTGTGTGTGTGTGTGTGTGTGTGTGTGTGTGTGTTCCTTGAGCAGATTTAAGAGGAAGTTTTTATAAAGAGAGTACTTTTTATTTCATTTCAAGTGTTTGATTTCTGGGTGGCCATCCGTGACACCGCTGCCTTGGACTTTATTGCGTTGAAAGGCAAATACATCAGTTTTTCATTTTTACTGCTGCGGTGAACTCTGTCAGTCCCTCCTCGTGCCCCCGCCCGCTCACTGTCTTTCCTTCTTTCCCATACTTTGACCCAGATTTGGGATTTTTCTAGAATAGGCTGCCGTGGTTTGGTTGTGTGTGTGTGTGTGTGTGTGTGTGTATGGCTGCCAGCTACTGTCCTGGTTTTTGACTGGGAGATGAACTGGAGGATGAGATTTGGAACTGGAGGAGCTGGATTGGTCACAGTGGGGTTGTGGCTCCTCAGATGGATTTTGAAATGCAGCTTCTTGGGGACAGACATACAGAAAATCCACGGTAGCTTTTCCCCTGCATTTCAATGTCTATCTTTTTGTTCAGGAAAAAATAATTCATTTATATGTTGCTGGTGATTTGTGGCTCTGACAGTTGATTTCCTCTTTGTTTATGTCTCCTTCAACAATATTTTATAGTTTGGTATTACAGTTCCCATTTTACTTTGGGTGATGCAAACAGGAAGTATAATATTTCCTTGGAGTCAGTGTGTCTGTCCAAACACCACAGATGTTATGAGTTTATCAGAGCTCAACATAGACTGTGTAAAATAATGGATTTCGCCACCATGATGTCAGTCATTGTTTTATGGACTCCCGTTTTGAAACCTTGAGTTTGGCATTTCAGCCAATGCCAAATTGTTTTAAGGAGCCACAAGTGACCATATTTGGATGAGAAGGTGGAGCTGTGAAGGAGCGAAGGGTGGATCTGACTCAAAGACTGTGGCTCCGCCCTTAAATATGCGTAAATCTAAACCTTTATCAAAATTCACCCCCTGTACAGTTGTCATGAATGTTGAATTAAGTTTTTTGCACCAGGCTGTAGACTTTCTTCTAAAATTTCTGCTGTAAAGTTGGGTATTTTAACATGGGGGTCTATGGGGATTGACTCCCTTTTGGAGCCAGCCTCAAGTGGCCATTAGAGGAACTGCAGTTTTTGGCTCTTCCACGTTTCAGCTTCGAAAGGTTTCATCTGGAGCTTACTGGGACACACTTGGTTAATAAGGTCGTCCTGTTACTTGTTTAAATACATGACTCAATGGAGCTCAGATCTTTTTTGTTTACATTTAATATCTATAAGATATAACCATACAGTATTATAGTTAAAACCAGCTGGAGCTAAGAGAAATAATACACTGTTAATACAATACGGCTTTGTTAGATACATGATTCTGTTCGGTTAATTACGGCATTCTACAGTCTGTTATTTCTGAATAGCAGACCGCTGCTATGAATAAAAGTTGATTGCCATGGGTACAGTTGTGATCAGACACTTAGCTCAAGCAATAAAAGCATTTTTAATTTAATGACATTTTTTTTAATCAATATTTTGCATCAAATTATTGATATCTTTTACTGTAAATTATACCTTACTTAATAAAGCACTTTGACTTTTCTGCCTGATACATTTCTTAGGAAATAAATATATTTCTCAAAATTATTGATAAAATGATATGTTTAATATTTGGGACGAGAATCACCATAGGCCCCACAATAGCTTTTGTTACCATACAATATTGTTACAAGTTTAAATGTTTTGTATTGTGATAATATATATTGCGATCTATTTCCTTTTTTTTATGTTGCAAATTATGTCTCCAAGGGAAAACATTGTCAACTTTTCATCTTTTAAATTTGTCAGTCTGTTCAGCAAAATGTTATCAAAAGTTGAATTTTTATTTGCAAATTAATAATCACATTCATTTCAATAATTACATTGATATCAAATTGCCATGCAAAATATTGCTATACTATGCTGTATTGATTTTTCACCCAACTCTATTTAATATTTATGTTGACGGTGTCAGATTTGCAAAACTATTCTTACAGAATGATGAAAGAAGAATGAATTGCCAGTAGGAAGTGATAACCAGTTTTTTACCCATGAACCATCTCTGAACCCATCGGCTATTAGTCTAACAACGATAAGCCTCTGGGGGCAACGGCCAATATTTTGGGAGAACCAGCGTAGCCAGCAGATATCCGGACCAACACTTCCTTTTCTGTGCGCCGGTCATTTCGGCTATAAACAGATATCTGTATACTTGAATGCAGATAAATAAGAATATAAAGCTAAACTGAGGCCAGACAATAGCTGATGGGTTCCAAGACTGCATTTCAGCCAATTATTTCGCCTCTCCACACAGACTGTTTTCCGGCCTAAATGTGATTGGTCAATACTACTAAGACTACAGATAAAACCCAGAAGGCTTCTGATACCAAAATCTTACATATGCAGATATCTGTTTATAGAGATTAACCTTTGAACGGTAACAGTCTGTTCATGCTGAATCCATTATGCCTTCAGCTTCAGCTTTGTCATGTCTGCTGACATGGTTGTTCCTAAAACCATCATCATTACTGTCAACAGCTGGGCTGATGCACTACAGAGGACTATGGTGATTATGGGATACACTCAGCTCTGAAGGAGAAGCATGCATCAGGTGAAGGTTACTGTGCTTTGACATATTTCAGATGTAAGATACACCTGTCTGCTGTCCAGTGGTGCCTGAACATGCACTGGGACAGAGCTAACATATGTCAGAGAGATGTTTTGGTGGTTTTACCCTCCACTAACCCCCCAGCTGCTGAACCTGCTCCATTTTCTCTCCCTTTCTTCTGGTTCCCTGCGAGTTGTTCCCACAGTTCCAGATCTCCTCTGGAACTTCCTCTGACTCCTCTGGAGGGGAGCGAGGAGGAGGCAGCAGCGGAGGGGAGGGGAACAGGAAGGAGTAGAGCTTTTCTTGGCCCAGGGGGCTTGAGGCCAACTTCACCACAGCCAGAAATGGTATTTGTCTGCGGGATTTCTCAACCCAAACCTGGCACTGACAGTGGAGATAAGATCAAAGTTCACCCACAGATCCCTCAGGGGGAATTTAGCCGTTACACCACAAATGTGTTTTATTAGGATTCACCAAAGAAACATATAAACAGAAACTTTATATCTGCAAATGATCATGGGAACTCTAGAGAGTATTAAAATATGTGAATGGAAAGTGTTAAATTATGAATCTGGACATTGTTCTGGTGTAATAAGGTAAAAGAGAAGATCATTTTTGAATTGCTTCTGTTTGTGCATAAATGTTTTGCACAAGAAAGGCTAAATGTATGAGGAATTGACGGGACCAGTTTCCAGGTTGATGTGATCCATTCACTGTTCTCAAACGTTGCCTTCTTCCACCTACAGCAGACACAGAGCAACATTATCATTCATGTGGAGTCGTGAGTCCACCTGTTGAATTTAAGTCCAATATTCAGTCTGCTTTAACTCAGTTTTGGATTCCTGAGGGAAATATGTGGCAGTGCTTGATATTGCTGCTCTGCTCTGCTGCTCTGTGGAAATGAGGTTGATGAGAGCAGTGAGATTAAAAAAACAAACCGTATGTGGACCATAAAAACTAAAACAAGGAGCTTAAAAATTCTACAATGCTTCTTAAAGCTGAGGGGAACTGCAGAATTTGTTATCTGTGGGGTTATAACAACAATAAGAGTGTGCCATATCATCTCGTCCACCATAATACCGGTATGATTTTTATATAATATGAAAAATTGGTATTGTGATACTTGTGGTATCTCGACTTCTCGTCATATTGACGTCATACGCTTACCTGCGGCAATGACAAGCATGGCTGAAAACAAAATTATTACAGACTCCGTGTGCAGGAGACATAACGTAGAAAAAAAAACAAATATACTGTAGCAAGAAGAAATGCCAAACAAGTGAATCTGTGTTTGGCTTTCACCTTCACTTTCGCCGGCGAGCGTGTTTGCAAACAGGAACCAACAATGTTGCCATCCCATGAGTGAGAATAATAATATTTATCTGTGAGCAGTTTCATGTGGTACGTTTCATCTGTTAGTTCAAACAGTCATAAGATCTGTACGTGGAGGGAGAGCGGTGTGCAGAATACCACAGGATTTAGACAATAGTGACTGAGGATCAAGGACAAGATTCTTTCAAGTGATGTTGCACAAAATAAACTTGTAGTGGAGTTAGAGAATGACAGATGAGCGGTGACAGTGTCCTGCTGAGAGAGGCGGAGATGAGAGTGTGAGCAGAGAGGATCAGGTGTACAGAAAGTGTGTCACGTTTCATTTCTCATCAGAATAATTAGTCAGTCCAGTGAGAGTCCTTGGACATCGGTCAGATACAGTGTGTCTGAGTGTGTGTGTGTGTGTGTGTGTGTGGAGAGTTATCTGTCTGTCTTCTCATGGCCATTTGGTTTTTGTTTTACATGGAGCTGCTTCTCATTAAGCAGTAGAAGGATTTTCAGTCTCAGTCATGTGCACCAGCTGTCCGGCCTCTCTTTGGGTTTATTAGGTTCAGAAAGCAGACGAGGGCTTTTCCTCCCTGAAGGCAGCACAGTGTGTCTGTCAGTGATTTCCCTGTACTGTTTCTGTGTTCTAAAGTTAGATTCTTAACTTTTTCTGATCAACCTTGAATTGTTTTATCCTTAAATGAGGCACATTTTCGAGGCACATGAGGACAACAGATGCATGTGTGTGTGTTACGTTTTATTTTCTACTAAGCTAAAGTTAAATTGCTCCCTGTTGTTCCTGTCTGCAGGCTGATCAGTGACTGAAGAGGATGATGCTCTCTTGAACCTCAGCGCTAACACCCGCCCGCCCCCTTCATCCTCCTCACTGTCCTCGTCCACAACACTGCCTCCACCATGAACCACACCCCCAGCCCTCACCTGTCCGAGGGTGGCAAGTCGGCCGGAGGCAGCCTGCTGTGCAGCCTGGGTCTGGTGTCAGATAGGGGGATCCGCTCCCCGGACAGCCTCACCCACACCCCCAGCCCCACTGGAGGGACCCCCAGCTCCAGCCCCCCGCTGCTGCTGTCGCCTGGGCTGGGAGGCTTTGGGCTGGGATCCCTGGGGGCCATGGGCGAGGGAGCCGGGGCCGACTGGGAGAGCAGGGAGGAGCTGAGGCTCAGGGAGCTGGAAGAGGCTCGAGCCAGAGCGGCCCAGATGGAGAAGACCATGAGGTGGTGGTCTGACTGCACCGCCAACTGGAGAGAGAAGTGGAGCAAGGTGGAGTTTTGGTTATTGGAGCCAGGAGAGAAAATATGTACTGAAAGTAGGGCTGGGTGATGTGGGGAAAATCAAATATTACCACATTTCTTTAATATTAATATGGTTACAATATTTTACGGTGGACAACTGGTGCTTTCACAAAATATTTACACAATGAGATTTTGATAAATAATCATCAGTAATGAGGATTTAATGATTTAAGTGATGATTTAAGCCTTTAAAGGGAAATTTCGGTTTATTTCAACCCGTCTCCTATCGTCCTAAATTTGATTCAAGTAACTAGTGACATAAAAATAATAGTTAGCATATTAGCCGTTAACCTAGATACAGCCGAAGCATCAGACCTGTTAAAACATAAGTGAACGGGCAACCTTCAAGTGCAAAGTTAGTCCGCTAAACAAGCTTTTTTTCCACAAAGACCGCCTCATATCATTAGGATAAATGTCAGAGAACATATAGAAAACGACATGTAAAAGTGTTGTCTTACCTTACCGGTGTGCTGCCATATTTGTTTACCATTTAGCTCTGCTTTCCAAAGTGCGGCCGAAATATCGCGAGAACAAGCAGCGATCTCATAGCGTGCCTGAACAAGCAGTAACAGCTGGAAGGCAGAACCGGACGGTCGCCTGAACGGAGGAGGAGGAGGAGGAGGAGAGAGAGAGAGAGAGGAGCAACAGGTAACATTAGAGGACGAGAGAGGAGGAATGGCTGCTGCAAGGCTGCGTAGCTCTGGAGATTGGTGGTGTACCTGTGAATGCTGTGCCCCAGTGCCCACAGAAGAGGAATGCCTCTGTTGCAAGGAATGGGAACGGTTGCAGCCTTATTTTCAAGGTCTGGATGTGACCGAGGACAAGACACCTCCACCTGGAGTAACGTTAGTATTCAGCTGGGCTTTATCTAGAGCTCGCAAGATATATTTCGGCTGCACTTTGGGAAGCAGAGCTAAATGGTAAACAAACATGGCAGCACACCGATAAAGGTAAGACAACATGTTTACATGTCGTTATCTATATGTTCTCTGACATTTATCCTAATGATATGAGGCGGTCTTTGTGGAAAAAAAGCTTGTTTAGTGGACTAACTTTGCACTTGAAGGTTACCCGTTCACTTACGTTTCAACAGGTCTGACGCTACTATGCGCCCAGGCTGTATCTAGGCTAACGGCTAACATGCTAACTATTATTTGTATGTCACTAGTCACTTGAACCAAATTTAGGACGATAGGAGACAGGTTGAAATAAACTGAAATTTCCCTTTAAAAGCTCCTGTTTGAGTAACGTTTGATAATAAACTAGGGTTTCCAGCGTTTTTAACAAAACAAAAGTACATATTCATGACTTGTTTTTAAAGATATATATCTTCAGAGTACCAACAGGCCTGGGGCTGATTAGTTTATCTTGTATTGTCTATATCTTTCCCAGGTTCGTGCAGAGCGCAACCGTGCACGTGATGAGGTCCGTCAGCTGAGGCAGCGGCTGGATACCCTCACCAAGGAGCTGACCAGCGTCCGGCGGGAGCGGCAGGAACTGGCCTCAGAGAATGAGACGCTACGGCAGGAGACGCTGCGCCTCCGAGGCGACCCCTCTCCTGAGGCTCCTCCTCCATCTGCCACTTCTCCATCTTCCTCCCCTGCACACCCTCGCGGTGCCTCTTCCTCCTCCTCTCCATCTATACCTCCCTCCTCCCCTGCTTCCTCCTCCTCCTCTCAGGTCCACACTGACGGCAAGCTGGACAGGGTCGGAGAGGGACCACCGGGGTCTCCGGAGCCAGAGCCAGTGAGGGACGTGGACTTGGACAGACAGAAGATGGCTCAACAAAAGGTGAGTCTGCAGTTTACATTTAGATTAGAATACACTGACACTGCAAATGCACACTCCTAGGAGATTACTTTGTATCTTGAAAGATGTGTTTCTGCGGTGTGTCCTCGCAGTTGTCTCAACTAAACATAAAATATTTGCCGCCATAATAATTGTTAGTGCTGCAGCTGGTCAACAGACAACCACACAAAATTATTACTACCTTTACTGAAAGATCTACATTTCCTCCACCTCTGCATTAACTTAAATCATGCGTGGAGAGCCCCTAATTAAAGTTGATTTCTCTTGAGAGCAATGACTCACCAGCCAATAGACGCACGTCTTGCTGCTGCTGATGTTGGGTTGTACATTGAAAATAATAGGGGCGTATTTTTTGACGTGCTGCGGTCGCTGCTGGTGTGTTTTGGCCTTGAAAAAAAAGTTTTCTTCATGATTTCAACGTAACAGAGTGAGTACTTGATATACAAATACCTCGCTCACACCATTGCTGCTCTTCGTCTTGTTGTAACTTAAAGGCCTAAGTGATGCAGTTTGGTCCGGTATTGTGTGTTTTTTGGCCCTCAGCAGACGCACCTATACTCAACTTTTTCTCCTCACAACCTATAAAACAGGTGAGGATTATCTTTTTTTATCGAGCTGTGTGTTGTGGACTGTCGGTCAGAAAGTAAGCAGTGTGAACTTGTCATTGTGTGGTGAGGGAGCAGGTGAAGGTCATCTCTTTATGACACAAGAGGATGAAAATATTGACAGATTAATCAATAATGAAAATGTTGCTGCTCTCGGTGCTTAAAACAGCAGATTCAGCTCCCTTTTTACTTTTTGTGTGAATGTTTAATATGCTAATGTGAATTAGCATGGGGGCTGTGTCCTATGCTGCTGACTTGTTTGATATCAGTGTGATCGTGTCCTCCGCTGCTGTACGGTCAGTGTGGCCGGAGTCTCAGTGAATGTAGGCCAGACTGGCTGCTGTGGCTCCAGCCTGTTGGATCGCTCACCAAGTGTGTGTGTGTTGGGGAGGGGTGTCCTATTTAAGAGACACTAGCAGTGTGGGTACCCAGGTACACACACACACACACACACACACACACACACACACACAGTTTCTCATCATGCTTGCTTATCCCTGAGGGCTCAGTGATGCTGCAGTACTTCTTCTCTGTCAGCCTGTTCTGTGGCCATCCTGAACCTTAAACATATCTTGTTCTTTACAAACACAGGCCTGACCTGCTGCTTCGCTCTGCCTCATTCGTTCTGACACACAAGACGCTCGTGAGGAGAATCCAAACTTGAATGGGACATTAGCGTTAAGCACCATCACGGGTCATATTTCAGCCGTCAGACTCTCTGAAACGCTCTGCAGAGGCCATTTTATACTAAAAATACAGAGAGCTGACGTGAAACAGGAACGTCTGGAACTCAAATTACTGGAAGTCAAACCCTACGTTACACCCTGTCTGGGGGGTGTAACATGAATTACGCCCCCATCTTCCCCAAGTCCCACGCAGCCATAATGACAACTTATCAAATGTGCAAACAGATTGATTTATTGACAGTTAAATATGGCCATACTGCTGAGTTACTCAACTTCAGAGTGGGCCAAGGCCAGAATAACAAACCAAATACCTCAAACTCAAACCATCAAACCTAACCTGAAGAAATGAAAGAAACAAAAAAACATCAGCATCCAGGAAGACTTCCTTCAGCCCTGAGCTGCCGCCATTTTGGCTCCTTAAGTGCTGTCTGTCAGCCAATCTCTGACAGCCACGTCATGGAGTGCAACTTCTTGCATATACCTGACAAAATGTAGAGATGAACAGTAATTTCTGGAGGCAACTTTTAATTGCTTGTGCTCCTGGTGCTCTTTGACATGACACCTCTGACTGTAACATCAGCTGCAGGGAGATGCGTCTGTCACTTGGGGATGAATCTGTCACATGGGGACGATCTCTTTGGTTATTTCTTTTTTCTTTTTTTTTAAGATATTTTTTGGGGCATTTTAAGCCTTTATTTGATAGGACAGACAAGTGTGAAAGTATCAGTTGTCTTGGGTTCACTCTGTATCACCTCAGTTATGTATCATTAATTTGTCTATCCAGTGACAGCTGACTGCATCCAGTCTGACAAGTCTCTGCTCAGTTTGTGTGTTTAACAAACCAAAGCCTGAATAGCAGAATTCTGGAAAGTGTTGCTCAATGTTGTACCAATTTTTATTTAGTAAACACTCATGACACTGCAAACAGTTTCTGTACACACTAGCTGCTGCAGCAGTAGAGGGGGCCAGTGTTGGCTGGCTACAGAGGTCGGGTAGTACACAGCTATTTGTTAATCCTTAGTGGGACAGAGAAACAAAAATGTAACATAAAAATGTTTGCTTCGGGGCACCCAGTAGCTCAGTGGGTAGAGCGGGCCGCAGTGCAGATAGAAATATTTGAAATGTGTTCTGTCTAGTTATAACACTTAGGAGTATTTTGATATCAGGTTTGAAAGTCTGTGATGAGTAATGGTAGCTGGCGAACCTAATTTCCTCGCAAACTTGGGTCAAATGTGAGCTGGGTTGGTTGTAAAACCATTTTGAGAGATAAAAAACAACATTTTTGAAATAAATGTTCAAATTTTTTCCACTGGTCGCTTTAGGGGCCGTACACACACCGTGTCTTTAACTGCCTGGAAAACACGAGGTCAGGCGCTGAGCATCAGTAACAGCAGAAGTTCCTGAAAAATGAAAGATGTGATTGAAATGTGTCCAGAAGTGTTAAATGTGCAGCATGCAGTACATTCAGCCATATCGTTATGTGACCTGTGATAGAGGTCACTATACTCCCAGATTAGTTTCTGTCCTGTAGTGTCCTCTCAGCAGCTGGCGGTGTTCGTCCCTCTGCTCAGGTGTAAATCATTTGGGATCACATTTTATTTTTGATAATTGCTTTCAAGCGTCACTGCCACCGGCAAGGACCTGATACCACGGGGGATGAAAGGGACATGTCCCCTCACTTTATTTTCAAAATCCCACTTCTGTCCGACCCACTTTTACAGTCTCTGTGCTCTCACAGCAATAAAGTTCACAGACAGAAGCCCTGGGTGTTACCTCTCAGGATACGAACAGGCTGCCTGAATGTCTGATTGGTGCTCACTGGAAGCAGACACTGCTCAGGGCAGAAATAAACTGCTGTTCCCTCTAATAAATGCTTTTTAGTTGAAAAAAAAAGACTCTGTAACTCTCAGCCACAAACATGCATTATAGCATGCAGCCTTGTCAAAGAGGTGGTACTGTCCATAAACTGAGAGTTAATTACTGCTCTACACTAGTTTCTCATGACAGCACAAAAAGAATTCTGACAACTGATTTTCCAAGTTGTATTTTCAGTCTGCAATTTGGATTCTTTGTCTGAATCACAAACAACAAAATGAGCTTTCTGAACAAGACATAAGAGAGCGTCACTTCCGTGAACTGCATCTCTAGTTGTGCAAACAGTTAGTCACAATTCAGATTTAAACTAAATGAACAACTGACTCAGCAAATACAGTCAGGGGTTCAAAGGGTGAGGTTGTATCTGAGTCACTCTATGAATATGAGGCTGTCGGTTGGTCCACCGCTTTGGTCCAGATGGAAGTATCTCAACAACTATTGAATGGATTTTTTTTTTTTTTTGTAAACTTGATACAGATATTACTGATGCCCAGTGAATCAATCGTAAAGTCTCCTAATTTGTCCTATACTAACAAATACTTGGTAAACTAATAATCAGCTTCAGCTGTACTTTGTGTTTAGCGCTAATTAAAAAATGTTGCGTTAAGATGTGGCATGACTTTTTAGTGTCATGTGGAGGTTGGGTACGGTTCCTGTGGGGTGGCAGACTGGGGTTGTGGCTCATATTTTTAAAAAAGGAGAACATGGGGTGTGCTTCAATTATCCAGAGCGCTGGAAAGGAAGCTGCAACCGATTGTCGAATCTCGGAAACTCAGGAGGAGCAGTTTGGATTCTGTCCTGGTCGTGGAACAGTGGACTCTTGTAGGGCTGCTGGAGGGGTCGTGGGAGTTTGCCCATCCAGTCCTCATGTGTTTGTGGACTTGGAAAAAGCTTCTGACAGCGTACCCTGTGGAACCTTCTGGGGGGTACTGCGGGACCAAGGGACTGTGGCTCAGAGGTAGAACGGGTCATCCGCTTATTAGAGGATTGGCAGATTCCCAGCTCTTCAAGGCCCCATTTCGAAGTATCCTTGGGCAAGATACTGAACCCCAAATCACTCCTGCTCCTGTTCAATCAGTGTGTGAGAGCATGTGAATGGTTAGAGTAGCAGGTGGCACCATCAAGGGTAGCCTCGGCCACCAGTGTGTGACAGTGTGTGAACGGGTGAATGTGACATGTAACGTAAAAAGTGCTTTGAGTGGTTGGAAGACTAGAAAAGTGCTATACAAGTGCAGTCCATTTACCATTTACTGGGGTTGCTGCTACAACCCATCCGGCCCTTGTATGACCAAAGTAAGAGCTGTGTCCCCATACTCGCCTCAGAGTCAAACATGTTTCCTGTGGGTGTTGGCCTCCACCAGGGCTGTCCCTTGTCACCGATTCTGTTTGAGGTATTCATGGACAGGATCACAAGGCACAGCCACACTTGAGGAAAGGGTCCGGTTTGGGGACCTCAGAATTGCATCTCTGCTCTTTGCAGATGATGTGGTTCTGTTGGCTTCATCACACCGTGACCTCCAGCATGCACGGGGGCGGTTTGAGTGTGAAGCAGTCGGGATTAGAGTCAGCACCTCCAAATCTGAGGCCATGGTTCTCTACTGAAAAATAGTGGATTGCCCCCTCTGGGTTGGGAGAGAGTTACTGCCCCAAGTGAAGGAGTTCATGCTGCTGCATGCTGACGTTAGCATTTATCTCAAAGCACTGCTGTGCTGAAGAACAGCCTCACAGGACTGCTTGTGTTGCTCTTGGGCTCTCTTGGACTCTTGGGTCAGATAAACAGCAGAGTTTGTGCCTGTTCTTCAGGTGCAGAGGATGC